TAGTGTCTGGTCAAGAAAAATGAAGCATTTTTCTGCATGAAAAACCCAAGCACACACACCAGCTATACATAACATAAAGGACAGTGTATCAGACAGGGTTGACCTCCATCTAGTGGCCACACTGATTTAACTTGAAATGCATTGTGATTAACAACTGAGTCACTGCAGCATCAAGACAAGGGTTGACCTCAGCTAGACCAGTATGGGCTACAGAACAGAATAAAATAATTTCATAAAAATTTCAGTTTTAAAAAAATATTTAAAAGCATTGGTAATACTGCAAATATACACTACACCACCAAATCACTGTGCACTCTGGTTTTCTAAAGAAGAATATTTTGTTCTTTCAGGTTTAGTTTGCAATAAAACTGGTGATCACTCTATAAATGGCCAAGTAATTGATTATTCATGAGGATAGAAAAGTAAAAAAAAAACTCACCACCATTCTAAATGAAAATACTTCCAAATGGGCAATGTAAATAATTATAGTCATAAATGTTTTAAACACAGCAAAACCTTTATTTGAATTTAATAAAATTAAAGAAATAAGCTTGATCATTTAGAATGACCAGTGATATAATGTATCTACCATGTTCCTCTAATTTAACTTTTATCTACCCAGGTAAGTCCTGTTAAGGTTGGACTGCTATATAAAAAGTAGCAGATGACCCAAATCAGGTTACGAATTAAACAAAACAGTTAACAATACTAAAATGGGACTAAAGTAAGAAGAGGTACAGTTAGCAAAGGAGTCATTTATAATTTACCAGTCATTCACAGTATTTTTGATATCAGATTCTCAAATTTAAATCTTTACAGACTACAGTATTTAATGTGACTGCATGGAGCAGAAACATGAGGTCTTTTATTCCTATTTCTGTCCATACATTAGGAGCAGAAATCAGATAGCCATTCAGTTGGCACCTAGCTTAAAATAATACAACCTAATACAACAGTCCTTCAGTAAACCCTATAAATCTTATGAAGGTAGGAATTATTGCAGGATATATTAGACTGCATATATTTGAGCTTGGTGTACCTAAAAAACTGCCAACTGAGTGTATCTTACGCTCTGAGGTAACAATTGTATAATCAGCTCTGTGAAATAGGTAGAAATATGGTGAGGTTTGCCCACAAATAAAGTTGAAATATATAGAGATACAGTATATGTATATCACTGATCAGGCATAACATTATGACCACCTACCTAATACTGTTTACATTAGAGTCAATGTAGCAATTGGTTGGCACACTGTTGGTAGGTACTACAGACCAAGAACACCCACCAAGACCTGCAGTGTGGGAGATGCTCTGACCCAGTCATCTCACCATCACAGTTTGGCCCTTGTCAAAGTCACTCAGATCCGTATGCATGGCTGTTTTTCCTGTTTCCGACACATCAACTTTGAGGACTGAATGTTCACTTGCTGCCTAATATACCCCACACACTGACAGGTGCCACTTTAACAGATAGTGTTATTCACTTCACCTCTCAGTGGTCATAATGTTATGCCTGATCGGTGTATGTACGTATGTACACATATATATATATATATATACATATATATATACTGTTGATTTTGTTGGTGTCATCAACAATAAGCTACTAAATGCAGAATAGTAATTCAGAGTGGTCAGAGTGAAAGGTGAAAGCAACGTCACTTTTTCTGAGTGCAGCCCAGCATCAAATAAAGACCGGTGACCTTTATGTTTCCTGAGTAGCCTCTGCCAGTAGCAGCAGCGCTGACCCAACGTGATGAAGGGTCTTGAAAAGCAAGAACTACTTTACTTTGCTGTAATATCAATAGTATGCTCACTGAAAACCATAATTCACAGCCACAAGAAAAACATTACAGCCACATTCAGTCTAAGAGGTGGACATGGTTGTAATGATTCTAAGCCTACTTAACACCGCAGTGGAACACAGAATCATTAAAAACCTTATTTCTCCAAACCTCATTTGAAGGTGAGACAGTTATTACTAGGCCAGTTCATTATGTTAGGTCCTCGGCTGATATTCACTCCCCTTCCCAACCTGACAAATTAGGGTGCTCGCCGGCACGAGTGCAAGCAATCGGCTCCCCTAGATTTAAACAGAGCTCTGGCATCTGGCGGTGTTAAATGATGTTCTCAGGGATTATCTAAATTGTTTTGTTTGTCTACTTGGATGATATTCTGGTGTTCTCCTGAATGTTAGTAAACACTCACAACAAGTTGGCCAAGTTCTTCAGAGACTTCTCGAGAATCGGCTTTTCATGAAAGGTGAGAAATGTGAGTTCCACGCACCCTTGGTCACCTTCTTGGGATACATAATGGGGAAGGGGCAGATTCGAGCAAATCTCGAGAAAGTCCGAGCCGTAACCGAGTGGCCAAAACTGAACACCGAGAAAGAGGTACAACGCTTTCTCAGCTTCGCAAATTTCTACCATCAGTTTAGTCTGTTCATCCCAGATGAGCCCAGGTCTCAAGTGCTGCAGTGGGTCCACACCTCACAATTTGCCAGCCACCTGGGAGCGTGCCGTGCCGTGCCATAGCCCTGGCCAAACAGCACTTCTGGTGGCCATTGCTAGACGCCAACACCAGGGAGTTCATCTCAGCCTGCCCTACCTACTCCCAGGCGAAGTCAAACCTTCAACCACCAGCAGGAGTGCTTTGACCACTACCCGTCTCCAGTAGGCCCTGGTCCCATATCGCCTTGGTCTTTGTAACTGGTCTTCCCCCTTCACATGGCAACACTGCCATCCTGACTGCCAGATTCTCTAAGGCAGCCCAATTCATCACTCTGCCCAAACCCCCCTCAGCACATAAGACAGCATATCCCGTCGTCTAACCAGGGTCGCCCTGTGCCGCACAGTGAAGCGGAACCATTGCATAGCTGACCGCCAGTGTCGCCCCGCTCCTACCTACAATCCAGGGCAATGGGTCTGGCTCTCATTTAAGCACATTGCCCCAAAGGCGGCCTCCTGCAAGTTGATGCCTCAGTTCTTGGGGTCCTTTGTCAATGACCATGTGATCAACCCCTCTGTGGTCCGGTTGCGCCTTCCCAGGTCTCACTGCACCCATCCCACTTTCCACATATCCCAGCTCAAGCCCATGTCAGTCAGTACCCTTGTGCCCTCTGGTGGCACCCCCACCTCCCGCCCTGGATATGGAGGGTGGTCCTGGCTTCACTGTTTGGTACCTCCTGAACGTATGCCGCTGTACAGTCCCAAGAAGCCTTTCTGGGTTCCCCGCTCCTTCATTTTGGATTCCGGCTTGGTCCACGACTTCCATCGGGCTCATCCTTACTGGCCCGGTGGGTCATCTGTTAGGTCCTTAGCCGGTATTCGCACCCCTCCCTGACCTGACAATTGGGGCAATCGGCAGGGCATGCTTGCTGGCACAGGTGCAAGCAATTGGCTCCACTGCATTTAACCAAAGCTCTGGCATCTCCTCACTGCCAGTTCATTTGATACCTGTGCTATGTACCAGCTGTTGCTATTTTTTCCACTGCTCAAGTTTTTGTACCTGTTGTTCTGGACAACTCTTGTGTGTTTTTGTTTCTCTGCACTTTCCAGCTCGCTGTGCCCTGGCTCTGCACTCTCCACTCCCGGTTTCGTACTCTCCAGCTCTGCACTCCCTGGTCCTCCACTGTCAGCTCTACGCTGCCTCCTCCCTCTCCTGAGCTCCCAGCCTGTCGCCACTCCTATGCCCTGAACCCAGCTTTCCCAAGTCTCCTGCTTTCCACAGTAAATCCTCATTAAAAGTCTTGTTCATACCAGCTGTCTTATGTCCTGCCATTGGGGTCCTCCCTGTCTCATAAGCCATCAGGCTTAATACATTAGCCTGTTCAATTTACAACTTTCACACATCGTTTGAGGTTCAGTATAAGAACAGACAGTTCACTAATGAAAAGTAGAACTGTTTCTTTCAAGGTTAATTTGTGAACACCTAATAAATTCTGTTTTCATTTGCTTACTACTTAAATAAAATAAATATTCCTAATAACACTGTTCATATCAACTAAATTTGGATCCAAGTTTTCTGTCAAATACAATAGATACATCTCTTGTTATTAAATAAACTCCAAATTGAAAATGTACTCATGTCAGTTTCCTGGGCTTTCTATGCAATCAAGATTTGCCACAATTCACTTATTATTCAGTCACACTGGGCTGATTTCTTTGCAGCAGGTATATGCGACAAACTGTTGTTTAGATGGTCAGGGAACATGACCACTGTGGTTATTATGCCTGAAGAGTATATTGTTTCTTGATCAGCATTATTGGTGTTAACTGTTGATATGATTAAAATACAATTCATTACATACCACAGATATGTGAACTTCTGAACAGAGCTGCAACTTTAGATGTAATGTCATGTCATGGCATGGACACTCCCAGAAGACCATACACAATTTCTAAAATGTTTTAATCATGTGTAGTTTTCATATTCTGCAGAATAACATTTTCAGAAATTTTTTATTAAAATGAACCAATTGTTTCCAGGAAATTCCTCTGAAAATCTCTTTATCAAACTTTACTATTTCCCTTATATTTCCCTCAACTCTGTGCAAAGTTCCCATGCTCACGCTAGACATCGACGTAGCCTAGTATTTGGCAGCTACAGCAGAGATCCTGGTGTTTCCCTCATGAGCTGGTGGAGATCCAAACAGAACTAGATGTAGATAAAATATTGGACTTGCATTTGTCCAGGGGAACAAAAAATGAATTGACTGAATGTTAATGTTGCTCCACATCTCCTCAATTTGTCATTAGCTAGCAACTTTGCCATATTAACTAAAAAGGTCATAATATGTCATGTTGTAATCAACAACAATCAGTTGTTGCAAGTAACTCCAACAATCATTTGCATAATTCCCCTTTAAATAGTAACCTACCAAATTAATAAGTGCTTTCCATGAAAATTCATAGAAAATGATCAGAAAATGACTTATTTGTAAAATAAAGCATTACCATTTCATTTCTCTGCAAAAATACAAATCTGCTGGAGAAACAATAAATACTACAGTATATTTATTTTGTTGGTCAAAAAGAAATACAATTTAATTACACAGAATCATACTGGAATCAGACTACATCAGTCAGGGTTGTATCAATCAGGTGATATTGTATCAGTGTTATACTTTTGACTAAATGAAACAGAAGACTGCATGATTATATCTTTCAAAAATGTCTCACGGCAGAATTACTCTGTTGCAAGATATCCAGGTTAAACTACAGTAGTTGCATATGGGAAGTAGCAAGCAGAAAACATCATGAATGTCTGTAAATTTGGTATGGTATGTAATAGACAAAAAAACACTAGCAAGAGAGCATGTGTTCTATGCAGTGAACTAACACAAAAATTACATTCAGTTACAAAGAGTAACAACAAACATTGCATTGATTAAGGCCCCAACTAAGCTCAGTAAATATGTACATTGTGGTAATCCTTGTTACGGAAAATGCCAGCAACATTTTGTAGGTCACCTACATCCACTGACTGCTCCTATGGGACACAGAAAGAAAAATCAATGCTATAATGAGTAAAACATATCCTTGATAATGGTGTTTTTTTTTTTTAAATGGGCTAGTGTGTAATAGAATAGTGACAGACGTTTTAATTAATGGGAGGCTTACACTGAGCGGTGCTCTCGCCTCCTTGTCGTGTCTTTGCACAGGATACGGCCCTAGAGATATATTGTGGGGGTCATTTTACTCAGACATATGTAATGCATTTACAGTATTTCACAGACTTATAAAAGAGGTTAGTGGCATGGTTCTGCCCAGATGTAATACTTACTGTGCACGTTCCACATTTTTCTTGCCCATATGGCCGAGCCAACAAGGAGCATTATAGAGCACACAGTCAAAGACATCAAGATGTGCCTGAAGCACAAACACAAGCACACAGTGGTCTGGAGAGGTAGTCCAGCTCAGGCTCACACTAACAAATGGATATACCTCAACAACAGTGGTATGATTATGACAGAGGTCATGATGGTTAATGGTATGAAAGGCATCAATGTTTAAGTTCAGGTTAAAAAGTGACAGGACAGTGCTTCACTCTTACCTATGGCTGTCCACGTTCTGTTTAATGATGGGTTTGGGTGGAGCCAGGTGTGCAACAGCCTGACCTGATGTAAATGGGGATGTTACAGACGGCGCTGCTGAAGATAAAGATATACACAGAACAAAAAAATGATGTAAACAATGTACTGCTATGAGTAGCAGCAGCAGCGTTGATAACATCAGTATTCTTGATAAGTGATTTGATAATCAATACCTTCTACACCTGGAGACCTAAGAGCCCCAGCCATCTGTCACAAATACATATTGATCTTTAAAGCTGCACTTGGCTCCCTCTCATTTCAGGAGCTTGTCATGTTGAAAGACCACACAGTCAGACCATTGTGCTTCTTTTCATATCTGCAGTGCCTGGTTTAAATAGTTGTCAGTGACATTTAAGTTTTAAATCTCAAGTCAGATCACCATCTAAACGACTCATAGGACACTAATTTGTTTCATCCTCATGATAACTGAAATCTCACAGTGAAAACTGAGCTTGTGAGATTGGGACCAGCTTTGTGAGGCTCACGGTTTAGAATAGTTTTTAAAATTGCACTAATCTACATTTCTATTTTAACAATAAGTCAAATACCTATGCATGATGTGAAAGTGGTCGCTCAAACTCAGAGATAGAGTATATCAACCAAGCAGCTCCCCACAGTTCTGTTGAGCATTTTAGTGTCCGTATTCTCATTGTTTTGGTTTTCCAGCTTGCAACATTACTGTTCTGATTTACTCTCACTGGTTTCATGAACCTTATTTCCAGCCACAGCAGTAGGCTTTTTTCAGAGAGAAGGCTCTCATAAAACCCACTGTAAACTATCTGTCAGCTCTAAACAGCAGATACACAAAGTTGGATAGCTGGTGAACACAGTATAGCATTTATAAGTTTATGAACTGGATATTTTTCCCCTGGAGTTTGTAGAAACCAAAACAAATGTAAAAGGAAAGTGAATATTTATATTCACCAGAGGCCAGAAACACACTTTTAATGGAGTGCTAATATTGCCCAGTGGATGTGTAAATAGGCTGTTTGCTAAAACTTTTGCCATTTCACCTACATGTCAGTGTTGTGTTTTCTTGTTCCACTGCCCTCAAGTGCTAAAAAAAATCAATACTGCTGTAAATAAAAACCTTGCCTAGTTCAGTTTCAACAGTGAATCAAATAGGAACAGCTCACCTAGACTGTCTAAATCTCCTCTGATTGCCAAAAAAATTGACAAGAAAAATTGGAATACATATATTTTAAATTTAAAGGGGAAGTAACTAAGATATTACACTTTGATAAGTGAAGTTAACTATTTTTGCACAACCATCCATGGTGTTCTTTTGCACAGAGAGAAAGAACAAAACCAGGGTCAACATTTGGCTTTGGCTTGAGTGTTAAAAGCAGCAAAAGGCCTTAAATTTGATTTAGACAAGGCATTCTTCCCTTTGGATGCATTAGAGTCTAAAGCTAATGTGTTTGTTTTAGCAACATTAGCGACCTAGCATGCCCATGAGTTTACCTTTGTGTTGAATTAATATGACTTTAACTTTCTAGTAATTTGAGCTTTGTGTAATGTTAGTGCTTTATATGGCATTAGCAGTAACCAGTGTTCTTCTAGATTGCCATATTAATTTGTTAGCCAGCTAACACTTGCCTGGAGGCTGCATTTTGAGTTTATGAGGTCGCTAGGAAACAGGGTGTGATGAGAGGGGCAAAGAGCAGTTTGGAGAGGCTTAGCAGTTTGTTTTGAGTCTCACTAGACCCTCTAATGGATGACAAGAAATCAGGTAGAGTAGCCTTAACAACTATTTCTCAACCTACTAGTTGTGGGTTGGGGTGTGACCAGCACATGCACCGCTTCCCGAGCCTGTTCTGTAGAACACAAGTACCAGCCAGTATCTCTCATCTGCAGCTTCTTTAAAGTTACAGTGAACTTCCCAGTTCTGTCATCACTGATGGCCACTGAAGTGTCTTCGTAGTTCCCTTCAGAATCTGTCTGCAGACAGGAGCTCCAGTCACCGCTCCGACACCACTTCTTCTTTTTTTCTCTGTTGGAAAGCAGCCACAGATTAGTCAGTGAAGGTTGACTATTCATTAAAACGTTTGACTAAAACTGAAGAATTCAGACTACTAACCTTTTTTCAGGTTAGTGATGTTTTAATGTTAATTTAAAAGCAAGGATTTAGCATGGTCTTCTTTTAAAAGTGAAACAGTTGTTATAACTAGAAAATAAAATACCTGTATCTCTCACTATAGAGGCATTCAGCTGTGACACTACTCCCTTCTTCCCCAGTCAGTTGGCTGTTCACTATTGACATACCTGCAAGGGAAAAATTCAATATATACTGAGAACTTGCATTTGTAATTTAAGCATTTGAAATGCATGCATTTTTGCCCATTACAGAGCAATAAAGGATTATTTGTTCAAAATCACTCCATTTCTCACCATGAATGACTTTGATGTAAGTGTAAGCGATGTCATCAGCATGCCATATGCCTTCTATCTCCACACCACACATGTACCACCCAGAGTCTTCCACCTTTAGGTCATTCATAGTCACTGTGAACACCAGCTGGACAGGGTCGTCCAAAATGCTCACTTTGTCTTCAACCAGGGTGGCATCTGTTTGGGCTAAGATGCTGCAGAAGCTTCTCATCCTTCCCGAACACCAGTATTTCACATAGCTGGCATACTGTGGCTCATAATGACAGGGGACCGTGAGAGATCGACCCTCCAGGACCGCAAACTCTTCCACAGTAGTTACCCTACACAGGAAGACTGATGGAAAGTGGAGATGAATGAATGTTGAACACTAGTTTGAACTAAAACTTTCAGTTATGCTGCAGTCAGAACAGAACAGCTACTCACAATGGACATTTCTTATCTCTGACTGAGTAATGGTGGAAAGTGGCCTTAAGCAATACTTGTATCTCATTTATGGCTTCATTTTCCTCTGTAACAAAACACATTAGCATCCCTCTCCATACATCTTATTTCAGAATTGGATTATCCCTCTATATTACACATTTGAGGGGACAAATATAACAGGATTTTGAGGATTTCACAAAATAAACAAACATATTCTTGCCAAGGGGCAAAGTACCAAAACCAAAAAAGTACCAAAAAAAAAAAGCCTGATAGAGCTCCTGCAGATGGCAAATGGCAACTTTAGCAACCTTTGTAGTTTGTCTCCAACAATTGATGAATACTGTAATAAAATAGGAAGTGAAGCATAAGAAATATTACATTGTAGCACCAGCACTAGCCAAAGGCGCAATAATAAAGATAGTGGCAGCAGAATAGACACTCCCTAGGACTCTTTTTTTCCATAAATAATCTGCAGGGAAAAACCACTACAGGCTTATTTAACAACTTTGGTAACCATATAACATCAGTAGTTAGAGTTTTTACCTGGGATCCATGATAACAGGTTGAGGGTGAGTATGAGGAGCTGTGGCATGTTTCAGTTTAGCAAGTAATTTCTCTCTCTTGTCTAAACACAAGTTTTGCAATGCCAACATCCCCTAGGTCATGTGACCATAAGCAGGATCGGGATGTTCCAAATATTAACTATATAGGTGCCAGTTGTATTTTAACTGTGGGGGATACTTTCTGCAAACTTGTAGCCAAATTCACTCACTGCAGTGGTGATGTTAAATTCAAATGATTTGTCTGTGAATTTGTTTACAAACTGGATCACTTCCATGACCTAAAGGTGTACAGTATTCCTGGTGTTGTTTTCATGAAAGCTTTTAAAGAGTGAGAACAAAGCACATTAATTGAAGAGCTGAAGGTATATTTTAGTAAAGTCACACATTTACTTATGTCTTGTTCTTCAACATCCACAGAGGATTTATTTGCAATGCTTTCATTCCATGGATGCAGAGAATTCATTTGGCAGGCTACAATAAAACTGTTTGATTTTAATGCCTGAAAACTTTGGATTTGGTCCAGTCTTCATTTGTTGTACTTCCAGCTCTTTCAGTAACTGATTTAACAAACAGTTTTCACCAGCTTTTCAGTTTGGTCCGTGAAGGGTGTCGAGGACGTCCCTCAAATCTCTTGGTTTTTCCTTGAACTACAAAGCCATGTATGGTCTTCCATTTCCTGTAAAAAGGTGGGCAGATCTCAGAACTGAAACTGAACTTCTCCTGTGATAGTTTTGGCAGAAACGAAACTTAACAAAAGGAATATTTCCAGCCACTCAAGTTCCATGACATATCCCAATATCCTGACATTCCTTTTAGTTTTATGGAAAACAGTGGCTTGAAATAGAATTAATGTTTTTCTGAATTGCTGCATCAAACTAAGCAACATCATCTAGACAGTCACAACTTTCCCTCAGTCTTTCAGTGCACATACTGTAAGTCTAATTAAAATATGGGGAAATGTTTTGCCATCATTCCCCACTTTGTCCTAGTTTGACTCTGAAATATCATATTTGTAATGTATGCAATCTTTCCTACAGCGGTCGTGCCTTTTAATCTGTTTTCATTATTAGGATTATTATATTCATTGCTTAGTGGTTTGACAGCAATACCAGTACTTTGCCCAGTAGGCTAATACATATAGTTAATGGCATCGTTTCTCTTCCAGTACAATGTACTGTGGGGAAGGGTGGAAAGCACATTTACTGTAGTTGTACTTTGAGTACATTTCTATGGTACTTAAAATGCTATTGCACTGCATTAAGAAGGAAACATTGTACTTTTTACTACACTACATTTGACAGCTTTAGTAACTTTGCAGGTTAAGATTAAAAATCATTAACGCAGTGTAAAAAATATCTAGAATCAGCTCCACTTGGACTAATTACAACATTAAAATGTGACTTGCATGTAAATAAAACCAGTGATCAATCATTATGGAATAGTACACGGTCCTTTTTATTGAATAGTGAGTATTTTTACATTTAAATTTAATTCAGTGTCACTGATTATATTTACGTATTGTTTTGAATGGAAGACTTTTACTTGTAGAATTTTTAAAGTGGGATTGCCACTTTGGGTAAAGGACCTAATTATTCAGAGGTTTTCAACCCGTGGTCCGGGGCCCTCTGGCGGTCCACAAAGGCATTGCAGGTGGTCCCTGATGATGCATTCAACAATGTAGCTTCAAAATTCAAGTCAGCACAATAACGAGAGGACACCTGTACAGCACTGTCTTACTACTGTGACACTGGCTCGTGATTGACTTAAACTCTGGCGGGGAGACTGTGATGTTTAAATATAAACCTGCCTGAAACTGTCTTAGTGAAATCAAGAATTTTCTTATAACAAACTGGCAAGAACATTTCGGAGCTGCTTCAGAATTCACAAGATCATTTCAGATGTTTTTATTTCTTTGCCTCAGTGCAAAAAGGGAATGCTTCACAAATTTTACACAAAGAAGGACCAAAAATCAACAATTATCAGCAAGAAAATGATACTGCATCATAGGTCACAAGATGCCTGGATGGTACAAATGTAGACATGGCATCATTTCTTGAAGGGGAGTTGTGATGACTTCTCTTGTGGGGATCCTTGAGCAAAAACACAAAAGGTGGTAAGGTTAGTGACACTGAGGTTATGAAAGTAGAAAAAAAGAGAATACAGTATGGCTTTCCAATCTGCACCCAAGTTTAAAAATTACATCCTAACACCATTTTCTAGTGATGGGTAGATGAGGTGTCATGAAGCGTTTCGACACATTGCCAAACTGTATTGATACTGTGTCGATACTGTGTCACTGAATACTGACACCTGCTGGACCTTAAAAATCCCTACAGGTAACCTAGTTGACAGACTCAACTGACGCTGATTTGATGACCGAGTATATACAATAATATAATTTAAGTCATTGTATTTTATATTGTATTATTTCATATCTTCATTTAAATTTAAAATTTCCTTGATATTTTTAGATAAACGTTTTGAAATTGAGTCTGTTACGCTTTTTTGATACAACTTCTCCAGCTGTAGAAAACACCTGCTCACACAGCACAGATGAGGCTGGAGTGCAGAGAAATTGTAAGGCAAGTCGGAAGAGGTTTGGATAGATTGCCTTTTGGTTGTCCCAGTATCTCATAGGATCCTGGGACCTGGCAATATTGCCCTCTGCCAGGTATCTCTGCACCTCCTGGATGGCATCAGCTGTGGCAGAGATTTGTTTTGGCAGATGCATCCCGTTGACATATGCGCTTCCTTATAAACACAGTTTGTCAGTTCGAAACAGTTCCTGTATCGGTCACGTGACTTTCTTAAAGCGATACGCGCACCGACATGGGGTTTTGCTCTACGAGCTCAACGCATGTGGTGATGCATCGGTGTTGCCGGACCCATCACTACCATTTTTTATGGAAACAAAAGCACTACGTGGTCTGAACGAACAGGGGTATACTTCTTTTACAAGGAGAAACCAATACGATAAAGCATATACCTGCATCTGTATAAAAACCCCTTTCTTGTTTAGTGAGAGAACTACACTATATGCACATCCATATTGCAGGATTGACTTTCTCATATTTAAAAATGCTGACTGTACTTTTAGGGGACTTTTACACCTAAGTGATAACATCTGCCAAAGGCACAGATTATGTTCTTGCCAGTGTGTGTTGATTTGTTTCTTAACAGCATAACACAACAAATAATGAAGGGATTTTAATGAAACCTTTTGGAGAAGTAGGGTATGGGCCACAGAACAATTGATTAGATTTTAATGGTAATCTGTATCATAATTTGGATACAGGAATATTTTAAAGATTATTCACCATTCGCCCTATTCCGGTATCCCATAATACCTTGCACCCAGACAGTTCCAGGTGTAGAGACTATAGCAGGCATCTATGAGAAAACAACACCACCACATCCAGTCGGATGTAAAACTTATTATATGGGAAATTTCTGTACTGCTCCAGGCTGTACAAATGAATCTGGGAAAGGCTCAATATATTAAAAGGTTGCATTACACTTTCCTGTTAAATGATCCAAAACGCCTCAATTTTTGGATTAAGGCAATCCAGCGAGCAGCCTGGCATCTCCCAAACAATCAGGCTGAATTTGTTCTAACCATTTAAAAAAATACAATATTTTTCTGATAATAATGTAGCGAAATAATGCTATATATTAAATGTTGAGATGAGCTATGATTGGTGAAATATATACAAATTGTTCAAGTGTACGGCATGACAACCAAGTCTCTATAGGCTATGGCATGCTGTAGTCAAGCTTAGTTGAGTTTAAAATAATGGAGTGCTGCCTTTGTTCTATTGTGATCCCACTATTTTAATAGAAAACATTTAACTTCAATAGAAAACAAACTTACATTATAACCAGGTTTCTACTGTCAGAACCTAACAAGTGGTACACCGCATGCTTCCCTTAACCATCACCTGGCATAACCTCACGAGTCTCAGTTTAGAGAAAGGGACTGTGCTTCTCTCACACACATGCACACAGACTAGAGCAGAGACAGAGATCACTTCGTAGTCTAACAATCAGCCAGTAACAGAGGCTGTATGAGCAGTTTATCAAACAGCTGTTAAACAAGCAGAACTTGCAGAAATGTAACATCTTCACCGGTTTGAGGGTCAAACTATCATGGGAATCTCACTTTCTCAGCATTATGATGAAACCGAGTTGACTTTGGCAGAGGTTGCAAACTCTGTGCTGTCTAGTCTGGTCTGAATCTTCAGATTTTTCAGTGGTGTTTTATTCAAAATATCAGATATGACAGTGCCTCAGACCACAGGACTAGAATTTGACCCAACCAAGAGAGGTGGTTTCAGTCCAGATCAAACTGAACCATGGTTCAGTTCCTTTCTAGTGTGAAAGCACTTATTGGGATGGTTTGGACGTTTGGACTGATTACAGGAATTTGAGACAGCATAGTCATCCAAACACCAGAAGAAGAATACAACTGGAAGAGATTTAAGTATGAGCTGCGGGAGCACCATGGGATGGGTATTTTTTGCACTATGGCGTTCATATGGTGAATCAGAATTTGTTTCAAGTACTGTGCTTGAAGTTGGTGCTGCTGGTGGCAATGCAATAACAACACTATAGTGGCAACAAAATGAAACTGTTCTTTCATTTTCTTTTTCAGACGGAAAAGGCTACTCATGGACAACATTTCGACATCAGACTCGATCAAACCAAACATGTCAATTATAGGGAGATGCAGCCCATGTAGGTGATGACGACAGGACATAAGTATGTCATGCAAGGTTCTTTAGTGCACTCACAAAAGTGCAATGTGAAACAAAAACTACCCGGAACAAATGTATACAATTTAACAAAAACATGAACCTTGTTTCTGACTCTCAGGTGTGAAAACACCCTTAATTAACATAATATCAGTCAAACAAGGAGGTAGGTTTAAGCTCCATATACATAAAGTCAGTATGAAGTATACAACTGGAAAAGAAATTAAAAATCTAAATTTATGGATTACTGGATGCTGAAGGTGTTAAAACAACAGTTATTAAGTAAGTGTAAATACATCCATCGCTGTTAGAACTAGACTGTGACAACAGGTTTGAACAAAACTGTCATTTTAAGAACCCAACTCCTAAAATAACAAATGTGAAATATACACCTGTACACCATGAGCTCGAAGCATGTCTGTCTCAACCAATGAAGTTCATCACAACCAGATGGAGGACAGTGTGAGCGAACAGAAAGTCAGCGAAGGCTCTCTCTGGGGAGACAGACAGGAACTCTCCTTTGTTCTGTGGGTTGATCTGGATACGCAGACACACTAAGAAAAACAACAGACACCAATGAATTTGTATTAGTTGTGCACACCTTAAACCCACAAATTACAATATAGAAGCCCCAAGTGGCAAACATGTGATTTGACTATATAAGTAAAATTTTACTTTGTTTACTAAAACTCTTGTCAAGTTGTTGGTAAATCAGTGGCTATAGCTTGTGGTACTTTTAAATTGTACTCTATGTGACTGAACACCTCTCAGTATAACTTAACATAGCTCAATAAAAGCGCCGATTAAATGTTCAAATCAGCATCTTTCTAAAAATGTTTTAACACATTTAAATAGTAAAACCTTAATCCAATCATTTATTGCAGTGGTTCTGTATGAGAATGCCTCGGTTGTCCATTTTAAGTCAAAAACTGAGTAACAGAACACTTTCATACTCAGAAAGGTTTATAATATTATTACTTTAACATACAGTGACTACAACTCGAGTCATGGGGTTATTAGCTTGCTTGGCTAACTTGTGTCTGCACCATTGCTCGTATATACAGTCAATGGTCTGCACACACGTTTACTATCAGAAGTCCAGAGACTAATTGATACCCACAACCTGAAGTTTTGTATATGTGGACAAGTCATAACACTTAAATGAACAAGGATTTACCTCCCAGAATGAAAGAGCCCACACATGCGATAAAGCCCGACAAAAAGCTATTGAAGGGGAAAGTGCCAACGAGCAGACAGTAGAGGAACTGCAGCGCTCCTGTTAACAAGATGTACAGCAAATATGCATCCACCACTTTCAGCTTGTTAGGCGTCGTGGTGGTGTACTCCTCTAGAAACCGAGAAATAACCGATATAACTGAGTTCGACATGGTTTTGCCGCCTAATGTATAAGAAAAAACAATTTAAAAAAAACAAACAGGCAATATTAGACAAGGTTTGCACAGGCCCTTTCCCTCAGTCGAACGAGTGACGTGTCCTCACCCACCGGAACTTGCCTTGGTGTTACAGAGAATATATTCCGACATATTCTGGAAAGAGGAGCAATAGCCAGTGTTGGATAAGTATCTTTGGCACCGCCCACCCCGAGGCAGAGATGTGTAAAATTAAAAAGATCGTGTACTCTGCCAGTATTTCGAGGTGCAGCTGTGGCAACTGTATTACTCTTGACTGTATTTATCACTAACCCAATTTTATTTGGGGTCCAAGAGTGCCTGTAGTATTTTGTGAATCACTGAGTGTTACGAGGGTGTTTTTCCCATTAATTTTTAATCCATATAAAAATGCACATAGAGAATGCGGGCAGCACTAGCAATATTCCAAAACAATAAATGTACCGTACATTCATTGACTTTGGTTGCTAATAAACACTTACTATATAGTGCAGAGAAGCAGTGCGAAAATTCACTTATGGTTAACTGAACACCCCTCCAGAACAATTGGATAGAAGATGAGTGATGATTTTTGGTCACGTTGATGGATCTTATTAGTAAACGATCTCTGTGTTTGGTAAGATGACGTTAGGAATGTGGGCGATACAAAACACAAGGATCTACTATTATGTAATTTAGGGCGATTTTAAAGGAGACACGGGGGAACGTTTTGTCATTACATTATGATTGTTGACTTTTGATTAATAGATTGTAGTCACAGGAATATGTCAACCAATGCTACAACCACAGCTCCAGTGCAGAACGACTGTGAGACAGAGTAAGTATTTTTGATACGTAGCTATATGGGGGAAACATTTCCTCAACACACTGCTTCCCCTTTTAAAGTCGTGTATCAGGACATGTGTAATACACAGTGCCGTGTCACTGTACCTAAAAACTTTTCTAATCTATTTGCATGTAGCTTTAGATATTATTGTGGCGGCCCTGCCCGGCCGCCGATGTTCGTGTGTTCTGTTGTGTACAAATGGGTTTGACACTGTTGTGAAAGCTGTGCATGTATTGGTCACCACTTACTGTGTGTGGTACCGCTGTTCTGGCCAATGTGGGATGGGGGGGAAGAACAGGTGTGGGAGGGTATAAGAGGGGTGACAGGTGGGCGTGTTGGTTTGGTTCTGTTGGTGGGCGATGGTGAAGTTCTGGGAGATGTGTTGTTTATTCTTTCATTATTTTCTTTAGAGAGCTCATGGTGCCAGTTTGGACAGCGTTTCCATTTGTCTCCATACCACGTTCAATAAAACCACAAAAGACAAACCAGGTGTTCTCCTCCTTGTTGAGCCAGGTGCCGGCACACTGCTGGCTAGTTAACTGTCAGGTATCGGGTATGGGACAGGGTCAGGCCAGCTCCTCTCAACCGAGCCAGCGGGCGTCACATTATTTTAGACATTGTGTTGTATCCACGTGACAGTACTCTTAGAAAACAAATAAAAAGTTAGACATTTTAGAAAAGTGCCACCGAACTTTATACCGCGAAAATGTTACATGTACGGATGTGACATAAAAAAAACACATAAAATGACTTGTAGATGTTAAGAATTGTGGGTTTGGACAGCACGCACAGCACAGTCCTAACAGGGATTAGGTTGGGTGAAGCTGTGACTCAGCAAATCTGAACTGCATGTGGATTAGAACAGCTGAAATGCCGGGTGGTGTAGGCTACCTGGTGTATTGATGGTAAGGGTAGAAAGGTGGCTTATTTCTGCCTCCAATCTAAGGAAGTGGGCGTTGAACCCACTTCTGTTCATTGAAGACCCTAGTGCATTGAACTACTGTCAAAGTGAAATAAGTTACTAAAGAGGCCATATGTAACCAGGATTAATATTTAAACCTACACCGCTACTGTAGGTTCTGGACATTGACTTTGACAGAGTGATGGTTGTGAAACATGACTCCATAGCTCTCGTTCTCAAGACAAATAATGATAACAGTGACTACAGTGGACTCTTGCCAGTAGCATTAATATTCTGCCATCAGCATGAGTCGAACATTTCCTCCCCTATAGTTCTTCTCACATCTCTCTCTCCTGTTAGGTCAAGCTCAGTCTGGAGCTGGTGGCCTTCCTGGCGTCCAACCTCCATGTCCCTTTTGAAGACTGCAGAGTCAAAGATTCTTGCTTGTAAGAGTTTGTTCACATACACTGGCTGATAATATAACCACTATGAGCTAACAATTGTGAAAAATAATTAAGTTCATTTACTTTACACTGTTGTTTTGCTACTTTTAGTTTTAGAGTATTTTTTTGCACCACTGGGAAGTAATTGATATATTGAAGGTGGTAACCCTTTTCAAAATATTCTCCATTGTTCTCCATCTTGAGCTACTGTAAGTGTAATATGATAGCCATGACACTGGCTGCAGCAATAACACACAGCCTTGCTGGGGGTGTGCTAATCATTACACTTCTTTGTCTGATCACAACAGGTATTCAGAATGACTTGTGGGCTAGGTTTGTGACCCTACCAAACCAGGATCGAATATGGACTATGACCATTACCAACAAAGCAGTTCGCAAACCTGCAGAACAAGGTGCCACTCTCCTCTAACTCGGTTAATCAGGAGACAGCAGCTGTCATTTAATGGTTAATGTCATACCTTCTTGACATCTTCTCTCTTCTCTCTACCCCACAGCTGCTAAAATTCCCCTAGTCATGGTCCATGGTTTTGGAGGAGGGGTAGGCCTGTGGATTAGGAACCTGGACACGCTGAGCCAGTCACGGCCTGTCTACGCCTTTGACCTCCTGGGCTTTGGCAGGAGTTCCAGACCTCACTTCCCCTCAGATGCTACAAAGGCAGAGGAGCAGTTTGTCAACTCTATTGAACAGTGGAGACAGTCTGTTGGCCTAGAGAACATGATTCTGCTGGGGCATAGTCTGGGGGGGTACCTGGCTACCTCTTATGCTATTCAGTACCCTTCTAGGTAATAATGTATAAAGTATTATGAACCTCAGTAAGTCAAGTTCAACTGAAATATATTAGGCAGAGATTGTATTTGAGTATCATACACAGAATGTGTCATGTTGAACATTAGTGTTCAAAACAACAACTATGCTGAAAGTGCTAGTCGGGTGCAGTCAGTAAAAAAGCAACAGTCATCATCAAAAACTAGGGGCTTCCGCACTCTGAACGATATCTCAGAATTTTTTCTTTTTACCTTAAAAAATTACATGGCTGAAGACAGAAGCTTACGTTTCGATATGACTGCCTTCTTTAGTGTCATCAACCCACACTACAACTCAGGTATTTCTAACTACACAGTGTGATCAGTGCAGGTGATAGTGATAACACTAACCAGTGCTGACTCGTGCCAATCTAAGCAGGAACCCAGTTCAATCAATCAAGCTGAACTACAAAAGTCCAACTGATGTCATATAATTACAAATATATCCTGGTTAGTGTTAGCAAAATAAAAAAGAGCATCATCTTAAAGGGGTAGTTTGACCTTTTGGGAAATGCACGTTTGCTTTCTTGCTGAGCGTTAGTTACCACTGTCATGTCTGTTTTTATGGTAAAGGTTGACCTACCCCACCAGCCACTAAACTTAGCTTAGCATAAAGACCCCTGTAAAACCACACTTGTTATAGTTACACTTTGGTTTTTGTGCCAATTAAACAAAATGTAAAAACTCCATCAGAAAGTTTTGGTGATGCTGGTAGTTGGACTTAGTTATCCTGGGACAGAGCCAGACCAGCTGTTTCCCCAGTATTACGCTCTGTGTGCTGTAGGTTAATTTTTCCATACAGGTGGTTCTCATACAAACTCTCAGCAAAAAAACAGATAAACATATTTCTCTGTGTCACTATTCCTCTAAATAAAAATTAAAGCTACACTAATCAATATTTTTATATTAACAGTGGATCAAATGACTATAGCTGTGTCTCAGTTCAGGGGCCGCGTCCTTCGGAGGGTGCAGTATACGAAGGTCACATCTTTGTAGCCATTGTAGACTGTGAAGGTCAAACTATGGGCCAAATCGAAATGAAACAGTCTAGCAACTGTTCCTGCTTCTACCGTTGTGCTACGAAGTGCTGTTCCTCTCGCTTAGCAACCTTGACAGCTGCACTCTGCCAGCATGCAAAGAATTGTGGGACAATGTGGGCTGCGAAAGATCCACCACTTGGAGCCTTCATTACCCAGGGAAAGAAGGCCACATTTGAAGCATCCTTCAATGGGAAGGCCTTGTTGCAGTTCTGTGACACATTCGGTCTTCAAATGCAGCCTACGCAGGGTCCATCCCCTGAATTGAGATGCAGCTTGTGAGTACTGTGAAAGGGGCCGCTTGTAGGCACAAACCCATAGAGAAACACAGATCGGCAGTTCCATTCTGGTACAAAACCCATTATTTTAAGTGTCATGGCCTTAAACTTTGTTTTGGTTTAGTCTCACTTTTTGTGTGCCTGCCCATCACTGAGGACAGACAAGCACATGAAGTTAGCTAGTAGCTGGTGAGCATAGTGCAAAAAGGAGCTCTGAGGAGACAGCATATTGAATGCAAATATTGCTGTAGTTTTTTTCACTGCCCTAAGTGACCAAAAATGTGTTAATGCTGCTTTAAGCCTATATCCTGTACTAAAACACGCAAAAACATCCACAGGAATATGTTGATATGGGTGAGATACTGTATTTTCAGGTTTGCCCTTTTGCATAGTATCTATTGTCTAGTTTAGATACCTGATGAGAAAAAATTCAAAATGAGAAATTGTCTGTGTGTAGAAAATTCCAGACTTTAAGACGGTAGGTATCCAAAAAAGGCAGCAGTGCACGCAACACTATGGTGTACCTAAGCTGATAGTATATTATAAGGTATTGTGCTTTCTGTTTGCAGAGTGTCACATCTTATCCTGGTAGACCCCTGGGGCTTCCCTGAGCGACCCCAGCCAGTGACTGAGGGGGCTCAGAGTCAGTCAGCAGAGGTGGTGAAGAGGCCGCGCCCTCCTGGCTGGGTGAAAGCTTTTCTGACAGTGTTTTCCTTCTTCAACCCGCTGGCTGTCATTAGAGCAGCAGGCCCATGGGGTAAGACACAGTATGTTATTGTTTTGTCTTTTAGTGTGCTGTGCCACATAATACCCACACACTGAACGCTGTGTTACTGATTCAGGTCCAGGCTTGGTGCACAGACTCCGTCCTGATTTCAAAAGCAAATTCGATGATATCTTTGATGATAACACAATGACACAGTACATATACCACTGCAACGCACAAACCCCAAGGCAAGTCAACATGTGCTTCACATAATCCCATTTTTAACAGTGGAACGTAATGCCTGCAAGTTCTTACCACCTTTTTCCATTTCCTTTATCCCCTCGCAGTGGAGAGGTAGGTTTCCGGGTCATGGTAGAGCATCTGGGTTGGGCTAAGAGGCCAATGCTACAACGGATTCACATGTTGCCACCCTCCATGCCCCTCACCATGCTTTATGGAGAGTGGTCCTGGGTGGACAGCTCATCTGGAGACAGAGTGCTCCAGATTAGGAATCAGACCAACACCAGAGTGATGGTGAGTAAATACACAGAGACATGAGGGAAATATTATTATAAGTCTAAATTGTGCACTTCAGGTTTAAATGAGTATCATTTACTTTAGCTACATGATGTAATTGCTGACCATCCTGATTGTTTATCTGTTCCACTTCGCAGCTGATAAAAGACGCCTCTCACCATGTGTATGCCGATCAACCTGAAGAGTTCAACAAAGTGGTCCAAAATATCTGTAATTCTGTTAACTGACTACATGTGTGTTTGTATATGTCTGGGAGGAGGGGAGTATAGAGGTTGTATTATTGTTGATAGTGTCCTGAAATATAGTATGATGGATGATTTTGTTATTGGGGATTTCTAGACGTCATGTAGTTCTACATACATACAGTATGTCTGAATGTAATTAGGTTCTGAATCCTGTTCTTACTGTAAGAAGTTACTAATTTTATTGTAGCAAAGCTCTTGATATTTAACTGCTGTATTTAGTATTATGACAGAGCAGGCCCACAGCTACTGATTCACTTTTTTGTGCCTGACATCAACCGTACTATAGGTCATGCTTTCTTTGATTTTTGTTTTTCTTTTATGTCTTTCCCACAGTATAAAACAACTGTTTGTATTTTATACCTTGAAAAATGAAAAGCTTCTTTAACACGTGACCTCCTTCAGGTCTGCTACTGTAGTAACCAAGTGATGCACTTTGTGGCCCGACCAGGAGAGGTCAGTATCACATGTTACTCCCGTTAGGTTAACTGTGAGATTTAAGCTTGTTTGTAGTGGCGATGAATGGATGGTGGAAGTCTCGTAATCAGAATGTTACTTAAGTAAAACTATATACTTAATACTAATTATTATACTACATATAATAAAAATCTGATCTTTGACTTAAAAACAATTGTGAATAAAGTGTTTGTTACAAGTAGAAGCCATTACTTAAGTAGGTTTTAGTATCAAAGCATACCAAAAGTATAAGTACTCATGTGAAATGGTCCATTTCACAATAATGTATATTATTGGACTATCATTTGTAATGGATTGTCACTTTAACGTTGCATCTGGTAAAGGTTTTAATTACCTTATGTAATGGGGAGTAGCTTGTGAAGCAATAGCATTTTTTGTTTTAACCTATATAAATAGACCATTTATTTGTTATATTTTTAATTATCAGTAAAGTAACTAGTTGTAGATTAAATAAAAAAAAATGTCTGAAATATATTTAGGAGAGAAAATGAAAATACTCAAGTAGAAGTACCTCAAAACTACATAAATTACTGTATTTGATAAAATGTAGTACATTTATTCTTTACCACTTATGCAGTTATTAGACATATGTGTTTAAATATTTTATGAACTCAAACTTTACATACAAAAACTCACTTTCTGTTGTCACTTGCTGTCAAATAAATACAAGAGTAGATAATCCAGTATTTTTTGTAAAGAGGTGGACAAGAATTATAAAGTAGCATTAAATCCATGCAACTTAATATTGAACTTGAGTAAATATAGTCAGTGATATCCCATCAGCACCCTTCGTGCCATGCATGTCTTTACAGACTGCAGTTAATATAGAGTCAAAAGACAGACTACAGCACTACAATGTGCATCAAAAAACTGGGAAGCAGCATAAGAGATGAATCAGAGAACATGGTGTGGACAAGCATCAGACATTTATAGCTTGACCTTAACTGTCTGCCATTGTTAACCACAAAAATGTCAGAGGAAAGGGAAAAACAGCACAATATGTAGGTCACAGTTCCAATATCGTCACTACTTTATAGTCATCAGCTCTGTACCCAGGAGACACTTATAAATATATACATTATCAGTGTCTTATATAATGAAATGCACCTTGGGTGTGTCGCCTCAAGTTTCACAGTTGAAATGACTTGTTGGTTATTGTCCCTCATGCAACACCCATTTTGTCTAAATGATTAAACATCTACACTGAAGAAATTAAAAGTTACAGGCTGGTGCTTGTTTCCTCTGTGTTCTCAGAATTACATCATAATTTCACCCTCTCTAATCTCTAACCAGTGAAGACTTGTCAGGCCATCGGTTCAGTGCAGGTTTTATTGACAATACAATAAAAAAACTGGTCTAGGTAGATAAATAGTGTAATGGTATTAAAATAGTCTCTTTCACATTGTATACTGAATGCTGAAGTTAAACAGGCTAGAATCTTATAAGCTATGGTGAATTAACTGTTAGCTTGTTAGGAAAGCAGGGATAACTTCATTTCATCTGATTATTAAAATAACCCATGTCATTGTAGAATTCAATTTTTGGAAATCGGTGTTAACTCGTACAGAAAAACTATCTTTCTATTTTCATTTCGGCAACATGGGAAATTCCAGTGTGCCCTTTGAATGTCGGTGCCAATTTCAGCATCATTCTCTTTCAAAACATTTCACAGTATCCTTCCTTCATTTAAGGCAAGATGAGGTCCGTTTTGTCTGAATATACTTTTCGTATACTTGGTTCACTTTATGACAAGCTGCATGAGTAATACACATAATGTATTTACATTATCACAAAGACAAGACTGCACGTTCACATGCTTTTTTCAGTGTCTAGAAATGCATTAGTTAGGACAATCTATGTAACAGCTTATTAACTTCAATATACAATATGAATATACTTGTTAATTAAAGCACTTATTTCCTGTCAAGGCCTACATATCAATATGCTGCTGCATGTTTCTTCACCACAGTTTGACCACAGTGTAAGGCAAAAGTGAGAGTTTATATGAAATAAATACTGATAATGCTACAGTTGTTAATTGTCTTTTCATAGTTTAAAATATAAAAAATTTGTAATACAAAACATCTGATAGTATGAAATTAAGCTACTTAACTTTGTTCATATAATTACAGTGTACACTTTATAAGGCAAAAGCGATGTGAGAAAAACTGAACAGGAAACGATGTTGACGGCTCCCTCTCATTGTTCAAGAACATTTATATCAGCCACTCCGTGCACCTGTGTGAGCTGTTTGCAGTCGAGAGATGCCACCAGCTTCCTGGGTCCAGGCTGGGTGGGGATGAAGTGCTCTGTTACCGTCGCTGTGGCGTGACCACCAATGTCACTGAATGGGACAAGGAGAAATGAAATATTAGTCTAGAGAAGGAAATGTGGGTCAGGGTAGGGGGGTATGTGTGGTAGGACAAAAGCAGGCAAAAAGAGAGAGATAGCTCATGTTCTTACCCTACAAACACTTCATGGCCCTGCTGCAGGCCCAGGCCCTCCACTCTGAACACCACGTCCTTCAGTGTGCGCGGCAGAGGGTTGGTGAAGGTGATCTTGGCTGCCATCTCCTTACCAACCACAGCTTCTCCCAAAGGCTGCCAAAGAAACGTTCAAAATTAGTCAGGAGGGTCAAGTTCAACTTTGCCCAAAGTTCCAGAGCGAAGTTTTACACTGCAAAATTATGCTATTATGGCAAAACAATGCTAACTGTATGAACAAACAAACAAAATACTAATTAAAAACCCACCGTGATACTGAGGTCAGGTGTACGGAGCCTGAAAGTGGTCTGGCTGGCTAACACTTGTTGGGTTTCAGTGACTTTTCCAGAGAGGGTTAGCAATAGCGCTGCCTGGTCCACCAGCTGGTTTTGGTACTGCTGGTAGGGCAGCACCCACTCAATGGATTTTTCTGTGTGGAGAGTTACAAGACAAGTGTCAGACTAGGTTAGGTATTCAGCATTTTACTATGACAAGGTTTTTTCTTTCTTTTATTTATTTTGCATTATTATCATAGCAGTAGGACCAGAAACAGAGGTAAACAGCTAGTCTGGCCCTAACCAAACTTAAAAAAACCTACTACTACCTAACCTAACCTATTGTACCATCACCTCTAAAGTTCACTAAAATGCTATATCTCATTTGTTCAATGAGAGCAAAAATGGAAGGGTAAAACTGACTGGTGTTCAGGTTTCGTCAGAAAAACCTAGCTAAGCTGTAGCTTCATATTTAGCTTACAGGTACGAGAGTGGTATCAATCTTATTTAACTCCCAAAAGAAAAAGATGTGTAGTTCTCAAAATGTCAAACTACTCCTTTAATGAGATTTAGGTTAATTAACAGAACCTGACAAATTATTTTCTCCACTGTGTCTACCATGACACAGTTTAACAGATTTTTGGATCCAGACCTACTAATGCCACCATGTTAGAAAGACACCTGGCTACAACTCAGCTCACTATAAGTTTTAGCCTAGGCTTAAATGTTGTATATTAGCAAAATTCCCTTGGCATTTGGTGACTAATATTAGCAAACTTTATCAAAGCTGAGGGAAACAACAAAGTCTGGTAACTGTTTGGATTTGTCACTATGAGAGAGCTCTTTCACATATACATAATTATTTGATTGATTGTTAGTGAAGCAGCATTAAGGATGAATGGCATGCCAACCTTCATTGGGCATAAGCTCCACAGGTAGCTCCTCTTTCTTTATGGTGCCCTTCAGCACACCAGTGTAGTACATGACAGCCACCTGGCTATGCAGAGTGGTCCGACGAGGCTGCGAGCTCAGGTTCTTCACCAAGATGCTCAGCTTGGCGTCGCCACCCATCCTGGGTCCCTCGCCCGCCATCCTCACCTCCACATTCACGTCCTCTGCCATAGGTGTAGAGTAGATATTTGGCTTGCTGCCATAGCGACTAGCAGTCTCCACAGCGATACGTTCCTCTTCAGAACCTGAGTGGGAAAAGGAAGAATAAGGTGGGTGCACCTTATTCTGGCTGAAATACAAGAGATATAGCACAGTCCCTCCAAACAAAGCAACCAGATAATTATTTGATTATAATGAAGCAGATGAACAGCTGAGGGGTGATATCAGGGGAATCTATGTACACTACAGCAAAATGATCGATGCAGCAAGACATTTCATTTTAAGATAGTTCCATGAAGTGTTGACATAATTCTTTCTGCTTCTGAAACATCAATCTATAGCAAAACTACTTTCAGTAAAGTAAAATATGCTTGCCAGTACCTTCTTCATGTTTGTACAGGTGTGTGATGTCGGCCCGCTCGTCAGAGCCCACTGCTTTGGTGCTGATGTAGTGGCCGACAGCCTTCTTCTCAGCGTAGATCTGGCTGAAAGTACCATCCAGGTTTCTCTGCCAGTAAATCTTATCACTGTTAACCTGATGAGAAAGCACCAACAAGCATGATGAGCCCAAAACTTAGAGTTTGACAAGTTTGTCTTCCATACTGATGATGAAGTTGAATCAAAAGCTGCATCATTCCTTGTGCATTTGGTATAATATGAAATTCCACTCTTGTGAATACTACAAGTGAGTTTTGTTCTTTGTCTAACAAGAAACAAGCATTCATACCTATTTGACCATAATGGTTGCTACTGGAGAAGGTGTTTGCTGACAGGCATTAAATTATATCTGTTAAATCTAAAACCTTTACAGTTTATACTTAATATATGACCCCCTAATTCCTGAATACCTACAGTTTACTGTAATTTGCCTTCCTCTGACTTTGGTAATGCATTAAAAAAAAAGCTAGAGAGAGTAAATAGCAAAGATTTATGTTCACTTGCCAATTTCTAGCACTCACCTCTGCAAAGATGAAAGGTGTGTCATGTTTGAGGTAGACATGGCCGGAGCGGATGGCGTTGACAGAGGCGGGGCCACAGCGGAAAGTGCCCTGGCTTGTCTCCTGGGGAGTGGAATCAATAGCCTGCCATCCTCCATGACCAGGAGGCAGGTCTAGTCTGGCCATCCAGCAGTCATTCCAGACGTGGAAATTCCTAAGGAAAAATGGGGTTGAGATATGTTAACTTGAAGTTACATGTGAGGTTGGAAATATGGGAGCAAAGCTAGCCTGGATTGGTCAATGTGATGTTATCCTTTTTTTTTTTAGCAGAGCAAGCTCACACTTTCCCTTTTGTTTCCAGTCTCTTATGCTGAACTAAGCTAATGATTCCATGATTTACAAGAGTGGTACCGATCTTATCATCTAACACTCAGTAATTAAGTGAATAAGCATATTTCCTTAACTGTTCTTTAAAGATTTCATAACACACTTTTTTCATTCAGACTTTTTAGAAGCATATCATATATTTAAATTTATTTTACTAAATCTTTATGAACATGTGTGCAAGGTGGGCAAAAGCAGTGTGAAGCATTTGGGGAACAATCAAGGATAAAATATTCATCAATAATTGACAAGTATTTTTTCCAGTTAAACAGGAATTGCTGATACAGATGAAACTGGCTAACATTGCCACATTTACTAACACTGCAGCAAGTGACTGGTGTGCTGTTACTGCATAGCTAATGGACATTCCAAGGACATTAATAGTATTAACAGATAGCATGTAAATACCAGATTGGCCTCTGCAGGCTGAGATGAGTTGCAGTTAAGTGAAAGAACATGACATCTCTGGGGTTTCAAGTTAGGGGTGGAGGGCTGCTTTCAAAGCAGATCTAAATATACAGTTCATTCTTAAGGTATAGATTTAGCAGCAGGCAATTCTTCTAGCAGGGTGTGCTGGCCAGGCAAGGCTGCACATCTTACCAGACAGAGTCACTATTGAGGTAGTCAATCGGCTCCATATTCTCATCTAAATACACATCTGTAGTGAGGGATGTGTCGGTATCATGAGCAGATTGGAAGTTGGTCACACTGCGGGTCGGTATGCCAAGACACCGGAGCACTGGAAACAAAGACAGAGTGATTAAAGCTGAGTTTTACTGATAGGTCATTAATCGACTTATGTTCTCAGATGAAAAGACATGATCAAAATGACTTCACATTTCTACTATAATGGAATTTGCATGACTGCATGGACCTTTATTTATCCTGTTTGATTGAGAGCAACACATATGGCTTTATCTGTGACAGAAGTAGGAGGTATGACAGGAATGACAGTTCAAGGTATGTAGGATGTATGTGAGCTACAACTTGCTAACAGGTGCTATGCTATGTAAGGTTAGCTAGTTATCATGTGATGGACACTGCATGCATAAAGTCTACTATAACAAAGCAGAGAGCACTAACGGCCTGACAGACCAGAAGCCATGGCCAGGATGATCATGATCAACACTGCTTTTCCACCATCCCCTCACACCATCACATGCTCACCTGTTGTAGTGACCGCAGAGAAGACCCAGCATTGGCCATACGACACAGGCGTTCCATTGGTGGAGTGGTATTTCCTCAGGATCTCCACACTGCTGCTCCACGCTGCAGGTGAGACTCCATCAGAGTAATTGCCAGACCAGTTCCCAACCAGAACCCCAAAGTCATCCTGAGCATTTATCTGAAAAAAGGTGGATCACAGTCAATTATAAGTGTACATATAACCATTTTCAAGGCAGGACATGATAAGTGATTAGGTTTGTAGCTGCTCAAGATGACTGCGAGGTGATATTCTTTGTGTTTTGTACCAGAGTCAAATTCCTTGTGTGTTCAACATAACTGGAAAATAAAGCGGATACTGATTTTCTCTGGAAACATGAGGGTTTTAGTTTTACAGTTCAAAGACTTAACACATGATGGGTATTTTTTAGGCTATTTCTAGTATTTTTAGATTGTTAGTATTCAATAGACTTCAAAAATATGTGAATGAAAAATGAAAAATGCTTTAAAAATAATTTCAGGCTGGGAAATACATTTTTTTGAAAATTAAATTATAAAGGTGAGCGAATCATATTATGACCTGGACTCTTGACTTCAGTATTTCTAAAATCACTATTTCTAAATTAGTGTTTCTGCAATACTGGTGGGATGATGATAGAAAATGTACTTAACACATATGAAAAAGGTTATAGACTTGGTACATTTGCTCACCATAGCAGAAATAACCCTGACTACATTGACAGGATCCCGTCGACCAGATGGAGGCATGTCACTCTTCTCCAGAACAAACAGGCACGCATCTAGAATTCCCTCATGAAACTACAAAAAAAAAAAAAACATCATCAGCAAAGAAAAGTACTTCACTCAAATGAGGGGAGTTCATATTCTGGGAAAATTGCAAACTTTTACAGAAACATTTAGAAATCAAAAGAATTTTTTGTAAACAAACAACTCCAACACAACTATATGATATGCAGCTTCTTCACAGCATTCACATTTATTATCTGCTTTACAGCACAAAACAGGAACATTGTGCTGTTCTTTCAGCACAAAAAGCAGATAAAGCCTACGCTGCTGACCATTAATAAAGCTAAAGAAAAACACTACTGCAGCAAAAGTGTGGTGTTTGCAAAGGAGGTCAATTTGGCATGAGCATGTTGGTTACGTTAAATAGAGGCTTTCAGTCATCTGTGGCTTCTTTTCAGCTTTGGGACAATATGCTTCACAATGAATGGTTATTTCTAATGATAGTCTATATTTTTCTTATTGTCAGAAAATCTCATGAAAGCAAGTATTGTGGCTAAAGTCTGATGTATTTTATTTGTCTGAGTCATACAGTAGAACTCCGTTGTTGTCCTAAAACTATTAAAAACATAAAACCGTCTCACTCGCACTGACGTTTTGTATCAGCCACACACAAATATACAGCTTACTCCAGTTTGAGAAGCATTAAATAAAAACAACAGCGCCTAACTTACCACTTCCTACAATAAATCTACATATTTGATGCTGTTAAATAAATTAATATATTCAATAGGAACAAATAGGCTCAGTGCCACAGATAAATGATGCAATGATCATTCAAAAAAATAAGCACTTTCCAGTGACCCCTTGCCCTGATACTCCATACCTGCCCAAAATTCCAGGTGCGTGCACCAATTTGATTCTCTGTGCCATAGTAAATCCTTCCAATGTCATTCAGCACGTACTCCTTCCTCTCGTCCTGCTCATCCAGGAACACTGTGTCCTCTGGAAAGACATTACACATTTATATCTGAACAAAACAATTATAGCAATACACATTTACATCCTACAATGATGTATAATTGTCAGATCCTTTTAACCCAACCTTGACAAGAAATATATGCTTTTTTTGTTAAACTGTACAATTTCTTTAAATCATCTAGTCTAGTTAAGGTACTGGTTTATTTCATCTTTCACCATATCTGTGAAAGTGAACCGAGAACTCATGCTCTATTCACCTCTTCAGTAACTAAACCATTTAAGATATGGTGGGATTTCTTTTCACAAATTATGTGGAAGATTTCCCCAGGCCAGGAACTGGTTAAAGAGGCACACCGACCCCATGGAGCTTGCAGTGAAGCCCAAAATCATGTGTGGGAAACATGACTTGGCTATGCATCCCCTGACATGAGCTTCACAAATATGCATCTTTCTTTTTCCCTCTCTTTATCTCTTGCTGTTTCCTTTGTGATCTGTCCAGGGTGTACCCCACCTCTCACCCCCCCACAACCCTATTCAGGATGAGTGATATAGATAATGGATAGATGGATGGTTAATGGATGGGTGGATGTTTTATTTGTGGTTAATGCTAGGTGGGAAATGGAACATGACAAAAAGAAAGAAGAGGAAACAAGTAAAAGCAGCAGAGTATTCAAGAATGTTGAGAAAAAGCAAGTGGAAGGGAGAGGTTTAACAAAGCCATGAGTCACAGCTGAGAGAAAGAGGGGAAGTTATGCTCGGGAGGGAGAGAGAGAGAGAGAGAGAGAGGAGCAGAACAAGGTTTCTTAAGATTTTACTGGAGAAAGTAGAGGGAGGTGAGGCTGACAGAATCTGCCAGCTGTGATAACTTTAGTTTTTACTCCTTGCTAAATATTTCTGGAATGTAGGGAGAAACAGACACACAGGAGGATTAGAAGGAGCAGGCGGAGGCCAAGGAACAGAGAGTGGAGGTCAGGTCAGTGGATAGCGTAGAGGGGCAAGACTGGGGGGAAATGGCATGTAAAAATAGGAACTACACATGGAGGCAGTAAATGTGAGAAATTACTCTGAGTTCACTCCATAGCCTTTTTTTATACAGTAATTGTAGGATTATGATTATTATGAGGGTGTGGCCATGATTTGTTTTGGGAAAAACAGAGTGCAAGCAGAGAGAGGAGAATGGGCATGCTGCCAAAAGCAGCAAACCCACAATGAAGCAGTCTTTTTATCAGATTCATCAAGTCCACAATACTTAATTCTTTTGTGTTGCAAAACTGTGTGTGTTTTGCTGGGGGAAGGTGGAGCAGAAGGCCCTCCCCTCTGGTCCATATATCCTTGCCTCTGCTGAATTTCAAAAAAAGCATCCCCCAGTAATTAATGCCCCTTTGCCAATAGACTATACAAGATAAAAATATTTTAAAAATACATCAAAGTAAAGTGCTGTCATGTGTGAACAGTCTATAGTGCAAACAACAATAAAATCTGATTTGGATGATCAATGTCAGCGCTTGCACGTGTGTGACAACAGAGGTAACACTGTGGCTACGTGATGATCCTACTTCTATTGGCCTTGATCCACGGCTTTCTCAGAACGTCACTCACCAAGAACAAATACTATTTGAGTGCAAAAACTACAGCTAGCTGTCCAAATGAAAGGGTATGAAAAAGATTTAGAGCAGCATATCGTCATATTTTACAGGACTCAAAAAAACAAATCCTAGAAATATGACTGTTGTTAGGACACTGGACAACTCCCAGGCTGACTGCAAGCTGACAAAAGCTTACAAAAGCTTACAAGCTTACATCTTGGTTGGAGGCTGCATTGAGCCAGGACACTTTGCAAAGTGGAGAGAGGATCGACAGCTGCTTACTGTCGACCCAGATGGGTCAGTTCAGTGTACAGCTTGCTTCGGCATTAGGTCCACATACTCAAGAGAGGCTCCACATTGACTCTATTTTCATTAATAGCATAAAAGCAAAGCCAGTAAAAGAAGAATTAAATGACAAAATAAGAAAAGTGAAAATTGTTTTATTAAAGAAAAAATGCATTCTATAAATGTTGCTTTAACAGCTGCAAGAAATAGCCTAACAAGTTTTATATAGGCCCACTGGTTTGTTTAATGTCATGACTGAAGACATTTCATAAACATTCCCCCACTGATTTTTTAACAAACCACACTCTGGTAGAAAACACACTTCTGTCAAACATCCTGTGTGGATAGATTGCATTGCTCAGCACAGTGAAAGAAATTCAGCAGACTAATCAACGGACCTTGTTTCCTAATGATTTCTTATGTAAAAAAAGAGAATAATAAGTGTGCATTAAGAAAAACTTTACTTTTTAAATACAAACATTAGGAAGCCTCAGCACCTCAGCTCTGTTTGCACTGTGTTCAGGTTTTATGCTACCAGAAGTTATTTTGTTCTTTGAATAAAATGTCTTCTTAACTGTGAAAAAAGACCAAGCTTTTCTGCTGGGGTGAAGGGAGCTGAGCTGTTTGGTGCACTTACTTGGTTTCCCATGGTTTTTAGTTTGAAGAAAGTCTTAGCTCACCCAGAATTCATGACAAATCAGCCCCTCTTAAGGTAGCGAAGAACTAAACAGCTTGTACAGTGCATGAATTTAAATGTCTGTCTGAAGTCTGACTATTATTTAGATCTATGCCATAGTAGGTCTGTTGTGAGACTGGCTCCAGAGGTAACAAAGGCAGTGAGAACTGGGCTCACACTCACAGGTCAGCAGTAATACTCCTTCACATTAATGCCAATGTTTCTCTGCTGGATGTGTAACTAGGCATCAGTTTGTTAATGCATTAGTCGTATCAACTAAAAAAGGTAACATTAGGTCAATGTTGTGATCATAGCTCGTTTCTGCTGCCTCTAAGTGGCCAAAGAATCAGTTAATGCAGGTTTAACTGATACAGTAAATCCCACAAACATAATAATGTTGGAGTTGTATTCCTTCACGCATACAACCTGGTTTTGGTGCAAATGCTCAATGTTGTGTCTAAGAGGCATAACCAAGCGTGCCAGCTGTCCTGAACTGTAGCCAGTGGAGTTGCATACCCAGAGATTACAAGGGTAAACAAATATCTAATGTATTTTGTGCCAGTATCTGCCATCAGAATGATGGTGTTAATCATAACATCAGAACATCTTCCCTGGCTAATTCAGTTGTATCAGTTTGTCTGTCAGAAAAATATGGCCTTTTCTGAAGATATTCTGCCTCAAATCTAATCTTTAGCCAGATGTGTATTTCTTTCCAGAAACATTATGTAACACCGTCTGTCTTCTCTTCCTCCAGTTGTCTCATCTTATCACCTATGACTCATATTATTTCCTCCCTCTCTTCTACATTCCATGTACTGTAAACCCCTTGCCCTGTTCACACCCACCTGCCAATCTTACCTTCACACCAAGGGTTGAAAAGCATGATGATGTTCTTGTTGGAGTTGTGAGTATTTGCAGGCCCATCCTTCAGAGAGGAGATCGTTACAGAGAGCCCATACAGACCGATCACAGCACTGGCTGGAGAGTTGACAGACAGCTTGATCTTGTTGCCGTTCTGCTCTACTATTTTGGCCTCCCAGCGTTCGTCCTCCAGGTGATCCACCACAGGAATAATGACATGGGTGCCTTTGGACACCATGGGCAGGGAACCTACACCAGACAGGTTACAATGGAGTCATGTTTACAAGATGAAGTAGACAGATGCTTAAATGGTATCGATCATCTTACCTAAAAGTCTGCAAGAAAATGAATAAACGTTTCCATTTCCTAAAGTGCTGAGGCTAAAGTTAAGCACATGCAACTAATTTGCTGTAAAACAGGAGAGCTATCAAAATATCTCACAAATAAAATTATTCTTAAAACATGTAATATGCCCAATTATTAAATAACATTTTGGAAAAATAATCTAGCACAACCATTCGCAATTGAACAATAGATTCCTCCATTTGAAATGAATAAACATTTGACAAAACTGTTTTAAGTATTAATGAAATAAGACACTTCAACTGTAGTTGTAGTGCTAGAATCAAAGCGAGTGTGTGTGCACATATTTTTGAATATTTTTGTGTTTTTTTTGTGCAGTCAAATGTATCTAGAAACTCAAGTTGTGCACCTTCACAAAGTGTTTTTCAATTAGCTCTTATTTTGTATTCTGGGCTTGACCGTGCAAGATTTGGACTAAATAAAGTTTGACAGCAGCAACCGGAGTGGAAGGACTTCAATTCAACATGCAGCTGGACACAGAGTAAACGTTATTATTATTTGTGCCACAGTGTTTGGTCATTTGCTCCTGCAGTGGATGGCACAATCATACCAAACTGTAAACCACACATGCTTTACATTCTCACCCCATGCATGGTTTTTCTGAGTAAAGTTTTTCTGAGAATTCTGCGACTGGAAAGCTTCCAACACTGCACTACACACACATCCCTGCAGAAAGCCAAGTGCATTTGTTAGTGATTTATCTTACGACAGTTAGCTAGATATTCCTTTTATGTGACTTGATGTTTTCCTAAAGGCTAACAAACTACAAACAAGCTAAAATAAACTTTGCTGTCAAGAAAAAGGTGTTACATTAAAGTTCACTCTGGATTAACACTTACTGGATACTGTCTTTAGCTGCCATTGTATGAAGCAAGTATGGAGTTTTATGTGAACCCATTGTTCTCCACAGATAGCGCTCACCACCATTCCTCTCTTATCTTTATGCACTTATGCAAAATCAGTGAGAAGCGCGGTCTTGTTTCTGTGGGTACAACATCACCTTTGTTGAAAATTACCTCAGAATCCTTACTCAGCTTTCTATTCGAACAAAACACAACAGCAGCTTAGTAAAAAGCCTTGCTTTTAGTGCAGCCCTTAAAACCTTTTCACTGCAAATGCAACTTTTCTCTTCCCGTCCTGGCATGCAACAATCTAAGCAACAGTAACAGCAAATCAGACTCTGCGGAGATGGCCATTTATTCCCCATTGTGCAGTGGACTGTTATAGTGTGAGGCCTGTAAATACCAGAAGGAGGTGTCTGTTGTGCTGAGGTCTGGAAACTGTTAACACTGGGTGGTGTGTGGAACTCCTGCCCAGTTTAACTGTGCTAGATATGTGTAGCAGTTCGACACCATCTTTGTTTTGAGTAACGTGTTTGTTCCTCCATGTTTCACAAGCAGTTTGCAAGGAATGCTGGTTAAAAGGGCAGTCCACTAATTTTTAACATTTAGATCTGTGTATCCTTGGAAAACAACCCTGTCAGATGAACTCAGGTACCCCACCACCTATTGTGATCCAGACATGTTCATTTGAATCGATTTTTGCTATGATGTTATTTTACTTTTAACTATAGCCATAGCTTCAGCCTAACTATTTCCACTGATTTTTCATTGTTTTAGCTAACTGTTTAGACTATTTCCACTGCTTTTTCATTGTTTTAGCTAACTGTTTAGACCTTTTTATCCAAAACACAGCCGGTTTATTCAACTTAGTTAAGGTACTCTACAATCTTTTCATGTACTGATTGGAAACTGCTGAAGTACCCTCTCTTAGGGTATTATGAACTTATTTATAAGAAAAAGTGAGCATTACAAATATACAGTTTGAGCTTGAATGACTTGGGGTCTTACCAGGCAGGGAGGGTCTAACACGTTGCATTATGGGAAATGTAGGATCTAATATTTATTAGGTTTTACACATGGGAACTAAAAGTTTGGATATCTTGATACCTGCTGCTTATATTTTGTTCTTTCTTTTATTTATGTACAACAATTAAAAAAAACAAAACTGCTCGATGTACAAGTCAGGCGCTCTCGGCAAGGGTTCAACAAAATCAAAAAAGTGCTTTTGCACTCTGTCAGTACTCTGGCTGCAGCATTTTAGATTAACTGGAGGCTTTTTAGGGAATTATTGGGACATCCTGATAGTAAAGAGTTACAGTAGTCCAGCCTGGAAGTAACAAATGCATGGACCAGTTTTTCAGCATCACTTTGAGACAGGATGCTCCTGATTTTTGCAATATTGCTGCAGTCTAAATGGGAATCTCGGTGGCTTCGCTGCGTCAGCTCCAACAATGCATCATTAATTCTAATCCAGTAAAAAGTGCCATTCTACATAATCACTACTGTAAGCATATTTTGATGCAGATACTTTTGTACTCTTACTTTTGAATGTGGGACTTTTACTTGTAATAGAGAATTTTTACACTGTGGTATTTCTACTTTTGCTGCAGTAACTGGTCAGAGTAGCTACTCTGCTGGACATGGAGTATTTAAACATTCTTGTATTAGTGTTTTATTAGTACTTTTACTGCAGTAAAGCAGTACTCCTTCCAGCATGGCCTGTTGCCATGGTTAATCATAGTACTGATGATGTTTGAACCTGGACCTGGACTTCCTCTCAGGTTTACCCCAGCCGGCTATTTGAACCCAGTAGTTCATGTACGTATACTGCTGCGGACACGCGCACTAGAGCGTGTGCACGCTTCATGAAGCTGTGAACGCAGACAGCACACGGGCTAGCCGTCAGCTTCGGGATTGAACCCGCTATTT